GCCAGCTCTCTTCAGACATACCGGTACCGCAAGCAGGAATAAACACAGCGTGATGCAAGCTGGAGTCATGAACGAGCTGCGGGTACTTGTAATGTGATATCAAGCATTCGGATTAGGCGTGATGAAAAAGGTAAGCCGCAATCCGATTGGCACTTGCAGATTTGGATGTCAGTCCTCCTTCTCATGTGAGTGATTCTTTGTGGCAGGAGGCTACATGTCAGGAAACCCTTAGTTGGTGGTTTGGATTGGTGGTTTGGGATTTGAATCTCTCTTGTAGAGGGTAAATGGGAAACCCCTCCTTAGCCACCAAATCACCAATCCAAACTACCAATTAGAGGGAAGCTGCACATTGCTAACCTTTCGCAGCTGACTGCTGGGTGCCGATGTTCCGCTTTGTCTTTTTCGACCAGAGACACCTCTTAAACTGGCTCTGTTTGTTGCTGGCACAGGTTCTACCCTTCCATCAAGCTTGGAAGTGTCCAGATCCATCATTGGAAGATCACTTTCATTGTTCGAATTGGGCCTTTGAACTTTTCATGTTGGTGTCATGTTGGTGGGAGGGTAATGTGAAATTCGGATAAATCTGGAGGACCACATCGAGCCCCCCCGCCCCCTCTCCCCCCCGCAAAATTGGAAGCTTTGTGCCAGCCATCTCAGCCCCTGAATATTCGCCGGAGCTGGGAGCACAGGATCGGATTCTCCTTTCAAGCGTCTCATGTTTCGGTCCTTTTTTTCAGGGGAACCCACCTGAAAGGAAACAGATTGGAATCTCCTGAGAGAGTACTGATCAGTTCGATACTTGTGGCTTCCCCTGGCAATGACTCATTGTCCTCTCCCTATTCTCCTGGTTCCTCTCTCTCTATTTCTCCTCCCCCCCGTGTGTTCCCTCGTCCTCCCTCCCTCTCTGTCTCTCTCTTCCCCATCCTCCCCATCCTCCCCATCCTCTCTCTCTCACACTCACTCTTTCTCTCTCTCTCTCTCTCTCTCTCTCTCTCTCTGCTTCTCTGTCTCTTTCTGTCTCACTCTCTCCTTCCTCTCTATGCCTCTCCCTCTCTCTCTCTCTCTCTCTCTCTTTCTCTCTCTCTCTCTTTCTTTCTCTCTCTCTCTCTCTCTTTCTCGCTCTCTCTATGTCTCTATTTTTCTACCTCCTCGCTATGCCTCATTCTCCCCACCTCGTGTCTCTGCCCCCCCCCCCCCCCCCCCCGGTCGCTGCCTCTCTCTCTTTCCTCTCTGTCTCTCCCTCTTTCTCTCTTGCTCTCTCTGTCTCTCTTTCTGTCTCTCTCTCTCTCTCTCTCTCTCTTTGTTTCTCTCTTCTTTTTATCTGTCTCCTGTTCTGTCTCTTTCTCGATCTCGGTCTCTTTCTCTGTCTCTGTCTCTCCCTCTTCCTCGGTGTCTCTGTCTTTGTCTCTGTCTCTGTCTTTGTCTTTGTCTCTGTCTCTCTCTCTGTCTCTCTCTGTCTCTCTCCCTCTCTCCCTCTCTCGCTCTCTCTCTCTCTCTCTCTGTTGCATAGCAGCGTCATGTCCCCCCTTGAGTTGCCTCGATTTCCGTGCACTGCCCCTGCATGACCCCTGAATTGTCTTCGTACTACTGGCTTTCTCCTTGATTTCCCCTTCACGTCCTTTCATGTCTCGTCATTTTTTGAGGACGTCCTCGTCATGTCCCCTTCCATTCCTTTCAATTCCCCCTCTATGTCCCTGTCATTTTATCGGTATGTCACGGTATGTCCGCTTCATTGCCAGTCATTTCCCTACATCTTCCTTCGTGTTCTTTGGTTTCCTTGTCCTTGCAGTCCCCCCTCACTCCCCCTGTTTTAGTTTCTTTCCCCTTCATGTCCCTTTCAGTTCTCCTTCATGTCCCTTTCAGTTTCCCTGCATTTCCCTTTCATTTCCCCTTGCTTTCCTGTCATGTCAACCCTGCATGTCCTTGCAGTTCCCTGCATTTCCTACCCTCATTTCCCTGCACTTCCTTGCATTTTCCCTTCGCTCCCCGGTATTTTTCCGAAAAAGGAAAAACACGTTTTTCCTACGCTTTCGCAAAACGGATGTCAAACACACAGAGTTTTTTCAGATTTTCGGCCAAAAGGGGCAGACAGCCCGAACCAGCAAAGAGCCGGCAGGGAGATTCGGGCGGACTTCACATTCACGTCTTGCCATCTTGCTGTGGCTCATTTTTTGTGCCAGGTACCCTTTTTAGGTTATTGTAAAGGGAAACCAATAGAGCCCCCGTTGCGGGGGTCCGGAGGTGGCGATTGCGACCCTTGAGGCGTGCTGGTGATCTTCGGGGCGGTGGTCCAGATCACCACCGCCGGAGACGTGGATCAGCCCATCTTGGCGGCGCTGGACACCGGCACCTCGCTCATCGCCATCCCGGCAGGCGCCAAAAACACGCGCGAAACGGAGGGTGGAGGGGTGTTGGCGTCGAAAGGGCGCGGGTTCCGGGGGGTGGTTTGGGTGTTGGCTTTGGGGAGAAGGCTTGAAGCCGGGGAGAGGGACATGGACAGGAAAGATAGGAGCTGGGCTTGTGGGGCTAGGTTCACACTCTGTGTTGAGAGTGGCCTTTGTGTTGTAAAGGGAAGCCAAAATAATATCCCACATGTTTGTTAATTGCACCCCCTCTTGGACACAAATTTTGATTGAGGTTTCCAGCCGGGGAGAGGGACATGGACAGGAAAGATAGGAGCTGGGCTTGTGGCTAGGTTCACACTCTGTGTTGAGAGTGGCCTTTGTGTTGTAAAGGGAAGCCAAAATAATATCCCACATGTTTGTTAATTGCACCCCCTCTTGGACACAAATTTTGATTGAGGTTTCCAGCCGGGGAGAGGGACATGGACAGGAAAGATAGGAGCTGGGCTTGTGGGGCTAGGTTCACACTCTGTGTTGAGAGTTGCCTTTGTGTTGTAAAGGGAAGCCAAAATAATATCCCACATGTTTGTCTCTTGGACACAAATTTTGATTGAGGTTTCCACCCTAAAGCGCAAGGCTTGCCTGAAACAACAGGCACCATTTCGGGTGCCTTTCGGAAAGTATCCACTTGGACCAGCCAGGGAACTCAGGGTTCCATTCGAGTGTAGACTTGGGTCTGTATTTTTTGCCGTGCCCATTATTTAGTCTACGCGGGAAGTGGGACCTTGGCGAGCCATACCCCCGAATCATACCCCGAACCACACCCCCGATTCATACCCCCGAAGAAAATCCAAAAAGGAGTTCAAGAACTAATGGCCTGCTTGAAGGCCTTAGCTAAGAGTATGCGAGTAGGGCCTGTCCTGCGGGCAACGCAATAAACTGTATGTCCCTAAGCAGTGTTCTACTCTAACTGGCGTTTAGGGTAAGAGCTACAGGTTAGCTCACAGTTCGCCAGCTGACAATTTGCATGGGCGGGCTTGTTGGGACACACGCGTAATTGCATTTCAAAAGTGCGCAGGCTCGCACGAGCTGCTTGGCTGTTTCGGCTGTTTATCCCTAAGTGCGCTTTCTCTGCTGCGTCAAGGGGTGGGCTTGCGCGCTCGGCTTTGGTATGTGTACTGCCGCTCCGGCGCGGGTCGAAGAATTATACCAAGAAGGCTTGAAAACTCTGGGACGGACATCTCGCCCCTCCCGCTACGCAGTTGAGAGTTTGACCACTCACCAAACCTTTGCTGACTTTGAGCGGGTTGACACGCTCAGTCGTAGCTTCACATGGCGCGGGCCTGTTCCAAGTGCAAGGGCGCTGCCGCTTGCAGCGGCCCCGCATGCTTGCAAGCTTTCTTAGCATGGACCATGCTCGCTCTGCGTCTTTCCGTTAGCAAAAAGCCTTCCCCCGCGATTCATACCCCCGATGCGGCCTGTGCTTGAAGGAGTGGCGAGCAAGAAGCCATCCTTTCATTGGCGGGCGGCGGGCGTGCCAAAGCCAGCAAGTTCTTGTCAGCGCCTGGGAAGGAAGCTCTGGGGCCCGCGAGGAGGAACTGCTAGTCTGAGCTGGTCCGCAGAACATGTCTTGGCGACTGGTGAGGCGTCAGGCTTCGGTGTGCCACGGCTGTTTAGCCTGACGCAGCTGTCTAGTTCACCTGCGTCAACTGAGCGGTTCGGCTTCTTGCGGCTATCTGCTTGGCAGCATAAACGAGAATTGCAGCGCCCAAGGCCACAGAACAAGAATTCAGAGCCGCGCGAGCCATACCCCGAACCACACCCTCGAGTCATACCCCGAGCCATACCTGCGATTCATACCCCCCATACCAACTTCCCGGCGCGGGCACGTCAAAAAATACATACTTTTTGATTTTTCGGCAAAAATCAAACTCACCCCGTCTAAGTCTAGGGTACTCGTACCCAAGAAACGAAGCTTGGGTAAACCAAGCCCCCCTGAATCCTCCCCCTAATCATTAGCTTGCGGCCCCTTTTAGGGACAGGCGAACCGCTACCCGGATCCAAGCATCTTGAGGCTTGCGTCAAAGCCGGTGAGGCCGACTCAGTGAGCTGGGCCTGGTGCCCCTGTTCCAGTATCTACTGTTGGTTTTTGTCCATCATGGCTTTAAGCATGTGAAGCAGATGAAGGATGAACCAATGAATGTTGCGACCGCGGCCAAGTGTGAAATTGCATACTGCGTCTGATTGTAGAGTCTGCTATGTCATGTCTCAAGCGGCCTTTTGCATGTCCTTGTTTTCACAAGAGCCTGAAGTTTGTCTGTAGATGGGTTCGAGGACCCGCCGTATTTGTTGCAAACACAAGTGGGATTGTGAAATAACCCCGCGTCTAAGAATTATGAATGTGCCCCTGAATAGTTCTTGCTTCCAAAACCCCGCATAAGAGCAAAACAAAAAATAACGGGGCGTCAGTCCCGATTTCCAAGCTACTTGTGCTACAAAATTGTGGCTGCCGAGCTGGAGCTGCGGAGGTGTACTTCGCGTACTAGACTTGTGCTACGAAGTTGCGATTTCCGATCTGGAGCTGCGGAGGTGTACTTCGCGTACTAGACTCGCGCTACAGAGTGAAACTTTCAGTGAAACCCGTGCAACACACAAAGTAAAGAAACGATAACACGTTTGGGGGACAGCTCAATTGACACGGGTTTTTTTTCGCAACCCCAAGTGAGCGCCCAGCCCCCCATTAGCCATTTTAGTAGGTGGGTCTACTATCAGACGTGATAGTAAGGTTCACGTCAGCCTTGTATAATAATCATGCTGGTCGAATGAAAAGCTAGCTTGGGTCATGTGACCAACTGGAAACATGTCAAGGCATTGACTTCCTTCAACGCCCCCCCTTCCATTGCTTCAATTTAAGTTGTTTTGCTCTTCCCCTGTTGATTTTAATGGGGGCCTATCGCTGCTGGATCTACCCTGCTGTCATGGAACCCACCACAGGGTCCATTTCAAAGGAACATGCTCTTCCAGGACACCTCAGCCAGGTTCAATGTTAGTGGACAGGAGTATAATATGTTTTTGTTTTTCCATTGCAATTAATCGTCCATTTGCTCAAGAGCGTGCTTTCTGTGCCCCTGTTGGTTTCACATGTTGCGTTTTCCCAGGATTTTTTTGCGGATGTGGTACTTGAACGCCCCCAGTGGATTTCTCAGGGGACTTCGAGCCGGTGGCGGTGGCGATGTTCGGCAGTGACTTCTTCGAGAACTGCGGGGTGTCCAATGGAAACCTGATTTGTATCTTGGTTCCGCTCGTTTAGCTTGTTTAAGCCAACATGACTTGTATAACATGAAATAAGGGATGTTGGGGTTTGGGGATTTTAGAGTTTTAGAGTTGCACTCAAAGTTTAACTTTGGCAAGTACCATTCGACTTTCAGAGTTTAGGGACTTTTGACCTATCCTACCAGAATCGGAACTTTTAGGACTCAAAGCGCTCAGGCAGTTGTGACGTTGCACAGCGAGCCAAAGCCCTGACCATCGTTTTCGGCGACAAGAGCATCGTGCTGAATGCTGCTGACATGTTCGAGAAGGTCGGGGTCTCTGAGCAGGTGCCCATTTGCATGTCTGGCCTGGCGTCCACGCCGGGCGGCGTCCCTTTCTGGATATTGGGAGATGCATTCCTGCGACAGGTGCGGAACTCAGTGACTCAGTGGATGCCCAGAAGAAAAAAAGAAGGCAACTGGGCGGTCCCAGCTTTGGATCTTTCAATTCGCGCCAGCTTTTGATGGGCTCCTGGCCCCTCTTCTGATTTCTCCAGAATAGTGAGCCCTGTGTTATGTGTTCGGGGGTTCGCACAAATTACAGGAGGTGTCTTTTGTGGATGTCACTTGGGATGATTGGTACCTTGCACTGCGGCGGGGGAGTTGGCACTCATACGGCAGAGAACCATCGATCCACCGTGTAGAAGCGATTGTTTTTTTTTTGAGGGGGGGGTGACATGAGGACACGACCCAAAAGAGGGACGACTCACGATGTCGAAGCGCCTGGAGCTGAGGTCTACGCCGTGCATAGCTTCACCTCCAGGAAGGTGGCCTTGTTTCCCTACCGACCGGAGGCACGGCTTAGTTTTCGGCTTTCGGTCGTTCGCATGGTGAAGAACCGCGAAAAAATAGGGAGGGGGGGTTCTTCCCACTTAGTAAGATAGAAGTAGTGTCTTTCAAGTTGAGCCACTTTCGACTTTGGAGTCCTCATTTGTGGGCCTTCCTCTAATTTAACAAGGCAGGAGTTTCAGACGGAAGACGGCCAAGCATTCCTGACCTTCAAAAAATGATTTTATGAACTGCAGGTTTTAAAGAGTCCGTGTTTCCACTTACCAGGGTTCCATTTTGGGTAGCTATGTTTGACCCACATCATTTTAGCCTCTTTTGATTGTCCTTTTCAAATTTCCTGGTTTTAACATTCTTACCAGGTTTTACCATGGATGGTTTTCCCTAGTTACCTGCTATAGCCTCATTTTCGGCTTGCCTGCTAGCGGGTTTGGCTTCACTCCCGTCAGGTCTCCGCTTCAGAAGCGGCCGCTTCGGATCTGTTTCCGTGTCCCGTGGCGCTGTCGCTGGCGCTCGAGTTCTTGGGCTTCAGCTTGGCGCTGGCCTTCGCGCCGCGCCGACCCCTCGAGCCGCTCGCTTGGGAAAGCTGGCAGAGTGGGGTTCAAGTTCCACTTTTTGACCCCAAGATAGACTGAAACCCAGGGGTTTTTCTTTGGGGGGAATGAACCACTCCTGGGTTTAAGTCTGTCTTGGGGTAGTCAAACAGTGGAACCCTGTGGCAGAGTATATTTTGGTGGGGCTGTCTCGGTCCATGCCCAATTTGACTTGGGTTTGTCTCAAAATAGGAATCGGACCCCGGTTTCCTTTTGGTTTGTCAGAGTGTGACTGACATAGTTTTACTACACCAACACATGAAACCACACATATGGCTGTGTCTTGAATGTAGGGGACAATAAATCCCATGGGAACGAACTCAGGTTCGGCGAGCCGCTGGTGCTTCTTGGAAGCAAGCCGAGGGGGGTCGGGGATTCCTTTCGGTTGGCCTGGTTTCCCTCTGAAAGGAGAGCCAGAGGTTCAGGCGCGACGTCCAAATGGTTTCACTCAGTGCAGAAGGTCGCATCACAGGGGGGCGCGGGGGAGTTGGACCAAAGTGAGTTAGAGGGTCCTACATGCCAAGGTCAGCGCCATATGAGCAGCTCCAACTCTGAGCTGCTGCGAAGCTGAGATCAAGCTACAAAATCTTCAGGAAGGCTCAACATCCACAAAAACCAAGAGGTTTGGCAGATTTCCTGGAGATTTCTTCTTTTGAGCTTGTTTCTTAGATCTCTAGGATAGGACCGCAGTTCCAGATTTGCACTGGGACTTAGATTCCTATAATATATGCTTGCTCACTCCAGTGGGAGCATGGCGCTCTGAGCCGTTTGTCAAGCGTACAGGAACAAAAATCGGAGGCGCAGGTAAAGAGGCGATTTGGGCGACTGGCTACGATGAGTGCAAAACGAAATGCTTGATGACGGGATTATTTACCATAGTTGTGCTTGATTTGCTTGCTTTTGATGTAGTTGGAATAAACAGTCCCAAGAGGCACCTGCAGAGTGTCCGCTTGTTTGTTTTTGTGGGGGGGGTCTTCCAAGAGTTCTGTGGAACCCCCGATTTTGTGGAACATGCTCCGCCCCCCCAAAACAACAACACACAAGGGATGGCCTGTCGCCACAAACGCCAGTCTAGGGAAAACACGGGGAAACGGCGAACCATGGTTGCAGAGAATGGGGCCACCCCCAGAATGAGGTTTGGCTAGGACCGGAGACAACCACGCACGACAGATCTTTGGTGGGGGGGGGGAAAGACCTCAGTCGGGTTGAGCTTGCCTTTTGACAAGGCTTCCTATGTAGACGACCCACATTGGCGGAGTTTATACCATCGGATTGCTTGGGGTCCCTCAAGGTTTCGAACCCTTCAGGTCTCGCCTCTCAGTTTGCGCCATTCTTCCCAGCCGCTCTTTTGTCAGACTAAATCCTTTCACAAGACCTTAATCTTGAGGACGACCTAGGTACAACTCTGGCACCTTGGAGTCCTGTCGGAACCGCCAGCCCATGGATTCGGCGTTGAACATGGATCGGTTGGGTGCGGTTCAAACCGATTCATCAGCTCCAGCTATTGACGCCAATCAATCCATCCTTTTGCGTTTTTGCTCAGTCATTCCTGTTTTGCTTGTCTTTGGGGTTGTTGCCCCCTTCTGTGGAGGCTTTTGTTCAACGAGGTCTGTCTGCTTTGGCCCAGGGCAACCACACACGCACAGGAAGGTTTGGGTCGGCCAAGGGCCCCAACAAAAACTGTACTGCCTCGTGTTTTTTTTGGTGACCACCAAAATAGTTGCGTTCTCTTTGGTTTCCTCTAAATACCAGCTAAAAGGATTCCCCCCCAAGAAAAGACAAGGATCCCAATGTCGATGATGTTGCGGCTTCTGCGGCCCTAGCTTAGCACATACCGTGTTTTTTTGAGGGTAGCCGTTTTGGCGTGGTTTCAAAGGGAAGTCAAAACGAAAAGCACAATTTCAGGGCCCTCTGTTTTGACATGCCCACAGGCGCCGCAATGAACACAGGGGTCAAAAGAACACCATGAAGGATATGCGCGGGTTCTACTGAAGAGGTTCCGATCGCTTGCACCGGAAATCAATGGGAATCACGTTTTGTGCATTCGATTGGATTTGATTTCTGAGAATTCATATTTTGTGTTTTGTTGCAAGGGAAACCAAAGCAGCAACTGAAGCCTTGTTGGGGGTTTTCCAGGTTTGAGACAATCCCTTTGTTTGGCAGTTTGTTTTTCGCGATTATCGAATTGAATGTAGCCATTTTTGACCCGTGTATGGGGTACATTCATCTATGACCATGATGTGGCGTGACTTGCTCAGCCGAGGGATGGCGAAGGTGAATTTGTACATGTGGTCTATCAACATCAGATGCTGCATCCCAGGCCGACATTGAACGGTGTGGGAAGGTCCAAACAGGGGCCACGGAGGAGCCGCCTCGTCAAACTGCTGCCGGCGGCTGCTTTCACCGGGGCCCGGGGCCCGGGTTTCTCGTTGGAACCGGGGCATCGAGGTGCGAAAGACGGGATCGCCGCAAGTGAAGCGGAAGTCTGCAAATGGCGGGTTTTGGTGGGTGTTTGGAATTTGGAAATCAATTTTCCTGTAGTTACTGTTGGTTTCTGTGACTGGTTGTTCTGGCTTTGGAACTCACCGAAGGATCTGAGGTTCGGGTCGGAAGGTTTGTGTCTTATCTAGTTCATTTGGCCTTCGGGCGAGAGAAAACCCTGTCCATGGCTTATCTTGGGTTTTGAATCATGGTGGGGACGAACTCGAAGGTTCAACGCCAAGATGTTTCTCCCATGTCAACAGGCGACTGCATATTGTTCGATGCAAGTTCTCACGTGCCACTTGGAGCTTGTCATAGGGCTTAGTGAGTCGGGTTTAGACTAAAGAGCAACCAACAGTTATACTCGCGTGAAAGACCAACCCATACCCTTTCTCCGACAATGGCGCTGGTTAGGGGGCCCTCGATGTAGTCTTACAAAAGGAAACCAAAGAACATCCCAAATGGGGGAGATTCGGGTTCACGTGTTCAGACAAGCAAAGAGAGGCCTCATTCTTGTAGGACTAATAATCAAGGGTTTCAAAGAGGATGATTCTCCTGTCCACGAACGCGGAACCCACCAGACATTCCCTTTCAAAAGGGACTTATATAGTCTTTCAGGACATTCCAGGACCACTCAGTCAGATTCCAAGTTAGTGGATGGGAGGGAGGGTATCATTAGTTTTCTCCTATCATGACTTTATTTGTCAAATGAAAGTTCCCGGCACCCCCACAATGAAAAAGGCTTTGAAAAGTAGACGTTTGAAGGACCTCGCCAGGCGAATCTCCACGCTTCGTACCTGGCCTGTGATTGGCACCCCTGGCAAGGCTATCGACAACTGCCGGGGGGCCCAGCTGCCGCAGGAGGTGTTGCTCCCATGGTTTTTTGAGTTGCTGCCCTGCAAATGGTCAGAAGGAACCTCAAACAGGGGCTTTCTCCAAAAATGAGGTTCCTCCAAAATACTCGACTCTAAACATCATGTCACAATGTGTGGTGCATCGGTTTTCTGGTTCCAGGTTAGTCCGCAGGCGCACCCCTTTGAAGACCCAGAAGCCCAGGACTTGGTTTTCCATTACGGGGAATCAAGCGCACGTCGCAGACCTCCACGGTTGAAGGTCTTATTGTTGGAGCTTGTTGATTGGCTCTCGGTCAGGCAATGTGGGTTTTGTTGTTTGTTTGGGCGACACAAAGGTTCTGCCATGTTCTACTGGGAAAATGGGTGGTGTTTGAAAAACAACGGATCTACTAGTGGTTGCTTTCCAGCTGAGACATTTGAACACCCACTGTTTGCAAAGGGGCGCAAGATATTTTTAATGATAGAAACAGAGACAGAGAATGAGAGTGACCTTGCACACCGAGGCTTTCTCGAGCATTGGGCAAGCCCTTTGCCAGCCAAGAGGCAGGTGTCAGCCATTTTGACAAGGAACACCGGGGACTCAACCTTTCAACCTCAAAAGCCAGAGGGACCAATGCTGAGTTTCCCATTGCTATTTCGACCGTAGTATAACTGCACATGATCGGCACATGTTTCCGAGTCGTTTTCAAGCACCGGGTTTGCAGCCACTATTCTTATTCGCGCCTATGAGAAGGGAAGGCGAGTTCGTGGTGCTCCCTGATCAATAGGTTGTAGGGCTGTGATTTTGCCAGGCCGTTTTTTTTTTTTTCCTTTTTTCCGGGGGTCGCATTGGATGGGGGGGGGTTGTCAAAAGCACCCGCACTTTGGACCTGTGCCGCCTTGTGCCACCTTTTCTTCTGGGATATCAGAAAATGTTCCTAATTCTCATTTTTCGAAAAACTTCTAATCCTTGGGGGACACCCCATTCATCCAGAGTCCCCTTCAAAGAACACCCTAGTCATACCTCGCTCATGAATCCGCGAGGTGTATTCAGCCTGGCTTTCCCAAATTGCCAGGTTTGCCTATTTAGATGGCCTGGGACTTAAGTTGACATGAGGGTTTTTATCAGACTATTTTCGTTGGACAGCCCGCTGTCCGCTTCCATGATTGGAAAGAGAGTATATATATATATATATATATTAATATATATATATATGTATCGAGCCATGGAAGCCGGAAGCCTTCGTTCGGGTATGTTCGGGTAGATGGGTAGATCCATGTAGCTTTTATGCCCAGATCTCGGCCCTGTGAACGGTGGATGGATCCCCTTGTGAAGGTACCCTCTGAATTTGCTGGGATTCGGGTCGCGCGATCCGCAGGTCGCGCCGAGCGAGACCTGGCACTGGAGCTGCCAAAACATCAGGCAAGCCCGACGGAAGGAACCTGGAACAAAACCGAGAGGAAGCTCAGTCAAAAAGGGGAACTTTTGTATTCCGGGTCAATTTGCAGAGTTGTTCGAGGGGTTCTTGAAGCTGCTTTTGGGCTTTCTCTTTGAACCGCTAAGATCTCGGGTCGGGTTGCGCTCTTTTTGAGGGTTTCCTAGCTGTAAAGTAGGCAGCCGGCTGTACATTGCTGGACTTATGCTACCTTATTCACTTTTTGAGCCTTTTGATTTTCCGGTTTTTTCCATTTCCAGCAGTAAAAAAGGGAACTACTGGATTTTTGCATCGGGTCGGATCTTGGCAAATCAACATAGGACCCACAGCATGTCTTTTGGGGAGTTCCGTCCGTTCTGCCTTGGGCACCCCCCAAACGAGCTAGGCCGGAGCTCTTGGCGAAGCTTTTCCAGCGCTCCAAGGAGTTGTTGGAGGCACTGGCCGAATCGTGGTGCCCTCGTTTTTTTGTTTGTTTGCGGGTTTGGTGTTTTTTGGTGTTTTTTGGTGTTTTTTGGTGGTGTTTGGTGGTTTTTGTGGCGGCCTTGTTTTAGTTGGACACCCGTTTGGGATGGTTTTCGTGGAGACGCTTGTGGGGCTTCACCTCAATGATATCAACGAGGTGATCCCAACCTTTTTGGCAAGCGCCGATTTCTGGGGTCTGGTGCTGCAAACAAAGCGACCGAGGGATTGCTGGTTACACTTTTCAGAAAGGGCCCCCTTTGGGAAAGCGGTCCTTTGGGTTAGAGGCCCTGAGAATTCTTGAGGGGGCCATTGCAAGTGAAACAAAAAAAACACCGCATTCAAC